CGGTTTACTGATTCCTTCACAGCAACGGCCACGGCTGCATGCTCCAATATGCTCTCCTTCACCTCTTCGGCTACCAGGTCTCCATGGATGACCTGAAGTCCTTCAGAGTATGTATCCGCCGAGAGTTCTTTCTGGGGGGCCCATTGTAGTCATGTCCTAACCATTCTGCTCGTGTAGCAACTCGACAGCATCACCCCCGGTCACCCCGAGGCTCACGACACCCCCGGTGTCGAGGTCACCACTGGTCCTCTGGGTCAGGGTTTCGCCAACGCCGTTGGTCTTGCCATTGCTGAGCGTCACTCCGCTGCCGTCTTCAACAAGCCCGGCTACACCCTCTTCAACAACTACACATACTGCTTCTTCGGTGATGGCTGCGCCATGGAGGGTATTGCCAGCGAGGCCGCCTCCATGGCTGGTCACCTGAAGCTCGGTAACCTCATTGCTATCTACGACGACAACGGAATCTCCATCGGTAAGCTTTAATTCAACACCCTTGATCCCTTCAGGATTATTACAACCATACTAATTCGCTATTTTTTTCACAGACGGTGACACCAAGTGCGCCTTCACTGAGGATGTTATGAAGCGTTTTGAGGCCTACGGCTGGCACACCGAGTACGTCAAGGACGGTGACAACGACCTTGAGGGCATTGAGGCCGCCATCAAGAAGTGCCAGGCTGTCACTGACAAGCCCTCCGTCATCCGTCTGACTACTACCATCGGTTTCGGTTCCAAGCTCCAGGGTACTGGCGGTGTCCACGGTAACCCCCTGAAGGCTGACGACTGCGAGGGTGTCAAGCAGCTCTTCGGCTTCGACCCCAAGCAGACCTTCGTCGTTCCCCAGCAGGTCTACGACCTCTACCACAAGCACGCCGCTGAGGGTGCTGCTAAGGAGCAGGAGTGGAACCAGCTCCTCCAGAAGTACGCTTCTGAGTACCCCAAGGAGCACGCCGAGCTCACCCGCCGTCTCTCCGGCAAGCTTGCCGAGGGCTGGGAGAAGAGCCTGCCCGTCTACAAGCCCACCGACGCTGCCGTTGCTACCCGTAAGCTCTCCGAGGCTGTCCTCGAGAAGATCCACGATGTCGTTCCCGAGCTTCTGTCCGGCTCTGCCGACTTGACTGGCTCCAACAACACCCGCTGGAAGAACGCCGTCGACTTCCAGCCCCCCGAGTACAACATCGGTGACTGGTCCGGTCGCTACCTCCGCTACGGTGTCCGTGAGCACGCCATGGCCGCCGTCATGAACGGTCTCGCCGCCTACGGTACCGTCATCCCCGCTGGTGGTACCTTCCTGAACTTCGTCTCCTACGCCGCCGGTGCTGTCCGTCTGTCGGCCCTCTCCCGTGTCCGCACCATCTACGTTGCCACCCACGACTCCATCGGTCTGGGTGAGGACGGTCCTACCCACCAGCCTATTGAGACTCTGGCTCACTTCCGTGCTCTGCCCAACTGCATGGTCTGGCGCCCTGCTGACGGCAACGAGACCAGCGCTGCCTACTACTCTGCTCTGACCTCCAAGCACACCCCCAGCATTCTGGCCCTCACCCGTCAGAACCTACCCCAGCTCGAGGCTTCCACCATCGAGAAGGCCCTCAAGGGTGCCTACGTCGCCCTCGAGGCCCCCGACGCTGCCGTCACTCTCATTTCCACCGGTTCCGAGGTCAGCATCTGTATCGAGGCTGCCACCTACCTCAAGGAGAAGCACGGCATTGCTGCCCGCGTCGTCTCCGTTCCTTGCTTCGAGGTCTTCGATGCCCAGGACAAGGCCTACAAGCTCCAGGTCCTCCCCGACAACATCCCCGTCCTCTCCGTCGAGGCTCTCACCACCATGGGCTGGGAGCGCTACGCTCACGAGCAGTTCGGTCTCAACCGCTTCGGTGCCTCTGGCCCCTACAAGGATGTCTACAAGGTAAGCTACAAAATACATATACCCCCCCCCCCCTTAATAACGGCCTATGCTAATTCACTTTACCACAGAAATTCGAGTTCACTCCTGAGGGTATCAGCAAGCGCGCTGTCGCCACCATTGACTTCTACAAGGGCCACACCGTGCGCTCTCCCATCAACCGTGCTTTCCAGCAGATTCTGTAAATGTCTTGCGGTGGCATCGTGATGGTTTGTACTGAATCATGTTTATGAGTATCCGGGACGATGTTGATCCCTGTGGGCGACGATACCCCTGGGAGAAGTCCTAATTTTTAACGACTTTTTCTTTGAAGATAAAAATATATGCAATCTTTCTTATTCAATTTCTTGGTTTTATGATAGTTTTTATTTTTCCTTGGTAGATTTAGAGGGGAATTGGTCTATGATGGGAGTATACTAGCACCAGTTTTGGCTTTCAAGTGGACTTGGACAAGCTTCACCGGCAGCAACACCGAACTAAGCGCATACACATACGGTTGGATTACGACGTAGTCATATAATGTCCACTTTTTCCAAAGCGGATATTGGCTAGTATTATTTCTTAGAAGATCCTTTCGACTTGCATCTCACGTGTCAATCCATGTGAAGCATCGGGGGAGTATTATTGAGGAAGCAGCAGAAATCTTTTGTTATATTCGTCATCGTCAGATCATCATCGATTATCAGCCGCCGTGGGGCCTCGAAGTGGAGGAGGCCACCACCCAAAGTATTAGAACGACAAAACTTCACATAGTCTAAGCGTCCAGAGCCTTGCGGGCGAAGTTGGGGAGAACGAAGCTGGCGCGGTGGATGTCCTGGTTGTAGTAGCGGCAGAGCTTCTCCTCCTCCTCGCGGGTCCAGCTGCGAACGGGCTCCTTGACGTTACGGGTGGCATCCTTGCAGCAGACCATGAAGCCGATCTGGCCGGAGGGGTAGGTGGGGATGGTGGTGTAGGCGTATTCGGCGACGGGGAAGACCTCCTTGCAGGACTTCTTAAGGTCGGTGATCAGAGACAGGTGCAGCCATTGGTTCTCGGCTGTATGGGTAGAAAACACGAACCCAAACCGATCCCGGGTTAGGGGTCGGGTGGTTTGGGGCGTAACAAGGTTAGCTTCGTAGTTCGCGACGATAGAATACAAACAACACAGGAAACATAAACAACATGAAAATTTCGAGAGATATAGAGAGAATCCAAGAAGGGAGGAGAGAAGTGGGATAGAAAGGGCAAGAAGGGACTAATGAAAGGCGACGAACAACCTTGTGTGGTGATGACACCTCCCTCACGGAGCGCATCGCGCAGAAGCTCGAAGTAAGGCTTCTGGAAGAGGCTCTCAGCGGGACCCTCGGGGTCAGAGCTGTCAGTGATGATAACATCGAACTCGTTCTGGCGCTCCTTGAGGAACTGGAAACCATCGCCAACGTGGACCTTGACGTTGGGGTGCTGGAAGCCAATGCTCATGCCAGGAAGGTACTTCTTGGAGACACGGATGACAGCCTGAGAAACCATGAGCCACATATTCACACATACGGTACAAGCACACGGGGATTTTTCTGATGTTTTACCTCGTCAATGTCGCACAGAGTGGCCTCCTCGACGGTCTCGTGCTTGACGACCTCACGGAGGACACCACCGTCACCACCACCGATGACAAGGACCTTCTTGGGGTTGGGGTGGGAGTTCATGGCGAGGTGGGTGATCATCTCCTGGTAGCTATAGTCATATGATGTTAGGGCCAATGGTATTTTCGGAAAGGGAAAATAGCTCATGAGAAGGGTTCCAAAACATACGAGAACTCATCGCGCTCAGTGCACTGGATGACATTGTCGAGGACGAGGACGGTGCCGTAGTCGCTGCTCTCGAAGACGAGGACATCCTGGTACTTGGACTTCTCATGGTGGAGGATCTGGTTAACCTTGAGGTTCATGGCCTGGCCGGGCCACATGCCAGACTGCTCGGAGAACCAGCCATCTGTAGAAAAAAGCGAAGAACCAATGTTAGCGAGGAGGGGTAATAAATTCTCGTCGGAGGGGTATGTAGTGAGATGACATCGTCTTAAGGCGAAATTGCGCTCATTGAAGCGTCATAATCGGTAATTGAGCCATTGAAGGGATTTGAAGAGTAGGTTTGGGGAATGCGAAGAGAACAGGAGGCGGGGTAAACCGCGAGGTGATGATGATGGAGGGGTGGTTGGATGGTGCGGATAAGGTAAAGAACTACTACTAACATACCCTTGATGGTGGGGTGAGTGATGTCGCTCATGGTGATGGAGTGGTGAAAAGGACGGAGAAGACGAGGACGAAGACGGAGAGCAGACAGCGAAGAAGCAGCTGAAGGGAGACGGAAGAGAAGAGAAGAAGAGGAAGAGAGAGAAGAGGAGGAAGGAGGAGAGAAGGAAAGCGAGAGGAAAGAAGCGACGAGAGACGAACGCATGCGGAGTGGGGGAAAAGTTGAAAACCAAAAACAGAAAAATTGTATGTACGGCCGCTGACCAGTGGTAATTTATCACCGGCGATGGCGGCCACTCAGGTGGGGTTTTCTCTCTTTTGTCGCCCGTTTCGGTAATTTTCTCTTCTGGCCAGTGGGTTTGGTTGCCGTATTGCTGGTTATGGTATGACCTTGTGTCTGTAATTTAAGAGCAATAGCATCCACTTCAACTTGCTTCAAAAGAGTCTTCCTTCGTTCTTATCTTGATCAGAATTGTACGATAATCCTAATGGATAGTAGACACTTGCGTAACTCAATTGGTCAACGCGCATTATTCTCCATCCAATCGTCGGGGCAATTGTGGTTCTTTAGCATACTTTAGTATCACGGCCAAGGCAGTCCAACATCTCCATTTTGTACCACAATCATCACATTCGGGCATTCGGGCAGCACTCACTCAGCATCGCAAATATTCAGAGAAAAATCGCATGGCCAATTGACCTGCCCAAGAAGCGTGGGATACTTCCCGCGCTGAAAAGGCTCAAGCAATAGCCGCCGGTGATTGGCAGACTACACTACGGGTTGGCTTCAAGCGGGTGTGGAATCCCTCCGGCCTATACGATGCCGCCCATTCTTGATTACAGATGCACCCCACGCGCGGTCAAGGCAACCAAAAACATTGCAACTCATTCGATTGCTTCTAGTTACTGTACAGTGCAATCACACATCCAGCCCTTCCATATTGCCCCATGCCATCCCTATTCTCTCAAGGTTTTCCCAGCTGGCACGTTACATTTACTCGTCACCACCCTCAAGGAGGCGGCCAGGCTTGGAGTTGAGGTACTCGTTCCTATAAGCAAGTCCAAGCGTCAGCTCTAGGATGTCCAATTGTACCAGAAACATGCGTATTATTGGCCTTCAAGTCCGCACGTAAGGGGGAGGCATACCTCTCAACAGCCCAGTTCATGATGGCGTAGGCGGCAATGAAGGGAGGAGCGACGTAGAGGACCTGGTGTCTGAATCTGCGGAAAACGTTGAAGATGGCAGCGTGACCGGCACCGGCAAGAGGGCGCTGGCGGTTAGGGGACATGGAGTAGGTGGTGATACGCTGGGGAGTAGGGCATCCTAGATGGCGCAGAAACGAGCCATGTTAGCCAGGGTTCCGAAGTCCAATTGCGCATTCTGTCGTTATTGAAGCTGCATTTCGTCGACAGTACAAGGCTATAATCGAGTAACAAGCCCGATGGCTCGATATTGCTGACAGTCGAAAGGCTTCGCAGACAGGCGAATCACGTTGATATTGTAGACATACCCAGATCACCCCACCAGCCCAGGAAGCTAAAAGAATCAGAAGTTAGCCATCATAATTATCCAATAAGCTACGACTCGAATGGAGTCAAAGTCATTCGATGTAGGGGACATGGGTAGATATCACGGCAGACGAGACCGCACGGTACCCTTTCCCCCGGAAAAGCTAGGGAGCGGACAAGACGAGACAATGGGGCAGAAAACTCACATTCCATTCTTAGGATCGAGATGGCCACCCATTGTGAAGAGATACGACGAGAATCAGCGACGTGAAGCGCGATGTGGGGAGGGAGAGATGGAGCGTGAGAGGAGAGAGAGAGAGAAGTCGTCGTCGGTGACCATCGGACCAAAACGGACGAAAGTCGAAGTTGGAAGTTCAAACCACCGCCCAGCGCTAATCCGTTTTGGGACAGCATGCGAAAAGCCTCGACATCATCTCCAGCCAAACTCCCGCCCGCCTGATAATTACGGTCGTTTCTCTGTCGCTGCTGAAGTCCCCGTCCCCTCGCTCGTCACTCCATCACCATGTCTACCCTCCTTCAGCAGGTCTACCGCCTCGCCGTGCCCATCTCGGCCGGAGTCTACCTCTTCAACTCCTCCATTTACGATGTTCGCGGTGGTACCCGCGCTGTCATCTTCGACCGATTGTCCGGAGTGCAGGAGAAGGTCATGAACGAGGGTACACACTTCCTCATCCCTTGGTTGCAGCGAGCCATTATCTATGATGTTCGCACCAAGCCCCGCAACATCTCTACCACCACCGGTAGTAAGGACTTGCAGATGGTCAGCTTGACTCTGCGTGTGCTGCACCGTCCTGAGGTCCCGAAGCTGCCGGCCATCTACCAGGTAAGCTAGATTGTACCTTTTCTATACTCAACTGAGACCAAGCCCTCTAACCATGACCCTACCTAATAGTCCTACGGTATCGACTATGATGAGCGTGTGCTCCCGTCCATCGGAAACGAAGTCCTCAAGGCCATTGTCGCCCAGTTCGATGCCGCCGAGCTGATCACCCAGCGTGAAGCTGTCTCCAACCGTATCCGCACAGACCTCATGAAGAGAGCCTCTCAGTTCAACATCGCTCTCGAGGACGTCTCCATTACCCACATGACCTTCGGAAAGGAATTCACACGCGCCGTCGAGCAGAAGCAGATCGCCCAGCAGGACGCCGAGCGGGCCCGTTTCATCGTCGAGAGAGCTGAGCAGGAACGTCAGGCCAATGTCATCCGCGCCGAGGGTGAAGCCGAGAGTGCCGATATCATCAGCAAGGCTGTTGCCAAGGCCGGCAGTGGCCTGATTGAGATCCGTCGTATCGACGCCAGCAAGGAGATCGCGACGACGCTCGCCAACAACCCCAACGTCACGTATCTGCCCGGTAACGATGGCAAGGAAGGCGGAAAGAGCACTAGCCTCTTACTCGGCTTGAGAAACTAGAAGGCGCTGTGGCTTGGTAAATGGGATTACGTGTATTTCTTATTTCTCTTTTCTTTGTTGCGTTTCCTTCAACCGGATGGATCTCAGGCGTGCATGATCTCCGTGGCGAATTAATGTCGTTTGGTCTTCTTTCTTCATCTCTTCCTCCTCTCCTACACACTCACACTCACACGCATGCACCCTTATTCGCATCGACCTGTAGCAATATCATACCCATTCCTCTCTCAAGTGTGCCTCTACTTATCCAAACCCTGTAGCAGGTAACGGACTTCACGACATAGAATCCACGATGGTAGGTATCATTGTAAGCCATAGACCAAATGCAACCATACAAACAAGAAGTAAATCCTACTTCCCCACCCTCCGATAAACATGAACCTGAAACCTCATATCCTCCAACCCAGCCCCCTCCCCAACATCGTACCTCAACCTGGCCGCATCTCTTCTCCACCACCTCGAATCCTGCGACAGCAAGCGTTCCCACTTCCCCTCCGCTACCGAAAGCAGCGTATGATCCAACAGGAACTTCATCGGATACTGTCTCTCCCGCACTTCCCCATCACCACCCTTCCCCAACTTCAACGTCGAATAACTCCCGGGACTATCCACCACAAGCAGCACCGTCCCAGGCCGCAACATATCCGTCATACGTAGCAGAAACCCCGTTGCCTTGGCCATGGACGTCGAGAACAGTTCATTCAAAGTAAACATCAACGTCACCAAGACAGTAGAGCATGACTCCGCGCCCTGCCGTGAGAATAATACCTGGAGTTCCTTCTCCCCCGCGGAGAGAACATCTAGCTTTTCGAACTGGACGTTGAACCCGGGTGTCTTCTTCTTCTCTTCGTCTCCACTGGAGGGTAACAACGGAGCAGGGTGCGACTTCGACCCAGTCACTGTGGGAGATCGAATAGCGGTGGATAAGCGCTCGACTACCTTTGACCAGTCTGCGATGTCTACCGCCGTGACGGAGAGGCCGGGGTAGGTGGAAGTAGCAGTAGCAGAAGTAGAAGTAGAAGTTAGTTGTTTTTCTTCTTCTTCTTTTTCATCATCCAAGGATACCGCCTTAACAGCATCCGCAATCTGGCCCTCTTCACTTGCAGAAGAAGATGGTAGTTCAGCACCATCCAGAAAATCCCTCCAAGCAGCCGCAAGCGCAACAATCTCAGCGCCCGCGCCACCCCCAATACACACGACACTCTTCGTAGAAGCAGCAGCAGCAGCAGCACCATCATCTTTAGAAACAAGCTTAATTACCTCCTTCAACAGCGCACGAAAGATGCCCGCATACCCCAATGCCCTGGACGAGCTCCACCGCAACGCATAAGCACGAAGCAAATCCTCATTTGCATCTGTGAAAGCGGAGTCAAAGTCCCGATTATATAAATGGGTTTTGATCGTCTGGATCAGACTTTTGATGTCTAGTTGCTCCTGCTGCTGTTGCTCTGCTGAATCACCAGTGGCTTCAGACGTGGTAGCATCATCATCATCGTTCTGCTTCGTCTCCTCTCGATTATAGAGGTAATTGTGCCCATTTGTGAGCAAGGCGGTTTTGAACACATTAAGAAGAAGTTGTTGGAGTGTCAGCGGGATGGTGGTGGAGATGTTGAGTTCATGATTTTTATGAGCGGCATGATGATGTTGGTTGGGATCGGTTTTGCTGGTGGTTCGGCGTGGTTGTGCTTGCGCAGAAGAAGAGGACGGCTTCTTTTTACTACTCTCCTTTTTGTTGGCTTTTTTAGATGTGTTGCCGGATCGAGGAGGTGTCATTTTCAAATAGAGTGTGGATTTTGTGATTTATTTCTTACATTGATTGCTAATAGGATATGTTGTCTGGATTCAGTTTGGGATTTTGGGGAATTTTCGGTTTGGCATTCGAATGGGCGTGTGGGGCCTTCCGTGGTTGGATATATATCGTCACAATACTACTACTACGGAGTATCGCTGCCAGAGTGTTTGGCGTTTTCCAAGGGAGCAAGGGCTTCATTTCCCAAGACGAGCAATGCTACTGGTTATTTATAAGCTATCATTGAGTGTTACAGCTGCTGTACTGACAACAGATTTCTATACTAATATCTCATACACGTGACAAACTACAAGGGCTCGGAATGGTTACTGAGTAAACGCCATCAAAGTGATGACGCGGAGTGTAGATTGAATTGTCTGTGAGCAGATCATACTGTTTGCATGTAGATCTGCATACTCAAAGTGGCAAGGATGCTTGCACTTCAAGATTGAATGACATGCACCTCCCAAGGAAGTCGAATAAAAGAAGGACCCCAATTTAGCATCGCCAACAGAACCAATGAGCCCATGTAAAAAAAATCTCGTGGAAAAAGAATGACATAAAGATGGATGCCATAATGAATGCAAGAAGACAAAGATGGATGATAGCGAAATCAGAAGAAAATGAAGAAAAAAATGTTTGAAACTGAAGATGGGCACTGAAACATTGAATAGCGAACGGAGATGAAGGGTTTGTTCACAACTGCAACCGGCCATGAACGAGAGACAAGAAAGAGAAAGAAGAAAACAAGATAGAGCTTTCATACTCTTACGCTTAACCACATGTCGATGAAAAAGAAATTCGTCAGTTACCACCCAACACGCAGAAAGGCGAACCGGTCCGAGTAATAATAAAAATGAGAAGAAAAAGAAGTAAAAAGGGGAAAGAAGAAGAGATAAAGGTGGAAAAAAGAGATCTTGCAAAGACCACGTCGAAGAGAATCATAAGGTTAGATATGTACAAGGGGCAGACAATGGTCACAGCAGTGATGGCTCAAGAGGGCCGCTGATCCCGAACACCATGTTCAAGACAGGACTTGTCCTTGTCTTTAGTCCTCCAGAAGTGCATGAGCCTGCTAATGCGAAGGCCCTTCTTCTTGGATCTCTCAGGCTCATCTTCCGGCGGCTTCTCTTCGTAGCTAAGCTTGCTGCGTTCTGCGTGGGGTCCAACAACCAGCTTGGAGAGACTGGCGAGACTAGATCTCTTAGAGCTGTGAGCTTGGCTGGTACGACGGCGCACAGCGGCAGAAAAAGACACCGAACGATCGGTGGACAAGCGAGGACGAGTGAAGAACGTGCCGGAAATTCGGTTCAACGTGTTCGTTGTGGTTGACGCACTGCTGGTCAGTGAGGGCACATCCTCAACTGAACCCTGAGGAAGATCCACGGACGGATTGTATGAGGGGTTCGAAAAATTACGATCGGTTGTGGACGATGTCGTCACTGAGCGAGGAACGTCGACGGAAGACAGCGTGAAGTCGGGAGATGGGAAAGAAGAGTTTGGAAGGGAATTGTTGCCTTGGAGAGACAACGGAGGGATATTGGGGGTCAGCTCCAATGGGGTAGTTACGCGGTCAGCAGGCATAAATCGAGGCGAGATGTCGGGACTCGGTGGAACGGGCTTATGGTGCCACTCCTGTCTGTCCGTCTCTCTCGAGCTTTGCAGGGGAGCAGAGAAAGGATTAGCCACATTGTGGAACTGAGCGAGCGAGGCCTGCTCTGCGGCGGACTTCTGTTCCTCCTGATCCGGGCGTGTAGCAGCAATGTCCGTGGCATCGTTTGGTTCGTCCTTCCGTATACCAAGACCAGCGTGAGATATATTGCCCTTGTTAAGTTCTTGAGCAAGCGGTTGGTGTGTCAGAGTATCAGAGCTGTCTTTGCTCTGCTCTGATTGCCTATCTGCTTCAACGATGTCGGATGCGGCTACCTGCGGCCCTGGTTGTTCAACAGATCCCTGATGAGAGTCGCCGGTGGCAGCAAGAAAAGCATCCTCCTCTTCTTCGTACAGAACATCGGGGTTCTCTAAGGTTGAGGTGGTGACAAAGCGATTGCCACCGAGAAAGCTGCGATCAAACGGGGGCATTTCCGGAGCGCTCTCTGCACGTCGATGATAGCGCATTTCCGGACCTATGAATTCACCTCGTCGGCCACCACTGTACATCCGCTTCGTTGCCGCTGAAAAACCACTCTCTGCAACACGACTAGACCGCATGTCAGGGGTATTGAAAGGACCCAGAGCTGCATCCAGATCTATCACTGGGCTAAAGACATCATTCTGAGTATTCTGTTCGTAAAAGCTCCTTGGCTTCCAGGAGCTATCCAGGCTAGGTTGTAGCTCCTCCTCTGGAGGCATATGACTAGACTCCGGTGTAGCCGGGTTGGTGGGTGTTCTCAAGACGACGATGTTGTCATCATCGAAATCAACGTCCAAGCCAGAACCGAGATCCGAATTTGTCCGGGTTAACGCAGGGGGAGAGGCAGTGGAGTTTGATACCGACATGTCCTTCTTGGTATGGCGCTTATTCTTACCCCTTGTTAGAAGAGCGCCCGCCCAAGACCGCACTTTTTTCTGCCTCTTCTTGGACTTCGATTTCTTTTTGCCTGAAGGAGATTCCGAAGAGTCATTTGTCTCGCTAACCGAGGTATTCGAGCTGTTTTCTGAGCCACTGGAAGAGGAAGAGGAACGTCGCGATGAGCCTGCAAGGTGCTCGAGGATTCCTGAAGACAAGCTCTTGCGATTACGAGAGTGGCCTGCCGCAGACAATGGCCGTTTCATGGGGGATGCATCGTCCGCTCTGGCGGTCTTGCTCGGATCTAGCATGAAGGATGCATCCGCAGTTCGAGGTCTTGGCCTTGACTTTTCAGCCTTAGGTTGTGTGTTGTCGACTGCAGGAGAAAAGCAAGTATAGCCGCTATTTCTAGCGGAGGCGCCAAGTCCTGATGTTGCCGCCGGCCCAGATTCTTTCGACAGAATCTCAGCCGAGTGACGTCCGGGGGAGGGCACATAGCTAGGAGTACCAGGTTCAACAACCTCTGAGTGGTCTTCCTCAATCACGATGGTAGGCGATACCGGAGGAGATCGCCGGGTCAGAATAGCTGCGGACTGAGAGACTGGTCTGGGAGGGTCATTGGAAGCATGGCCTTCGCGCGTTGTATCTGCCGGAAAGCATGGAGCACTTCCAATGGATGGTTTCAAGTCTAGCGCATTCGAGATAGCGGTGAGATCCACACTGGATATAGCAGCCGAGCGCCGGTGGGCATGACGGCGTTTTCCTTGACTACCCGCACCAAAGCCGGGCCCTGGAGCGGGAAGTTTGGCGGGTGCTGGCGCTAAATTGTCATCCTTGCTTTGAGTAACCTCGACGGACGCAGGCGGAATGATCGGATGTTCACCACCAACGAACTCACTGCAGCGTCTGCGGTGTCCACCTGGTCTATTTGGGGAGAGAGAGGGCATCGATGGTTGTGATGAATGTTGAGCGCCCGGGTTGAACGAAAACGCTGGGAGCGGCAGAGCAGCCCTCGCACCGGTCTCCGAGGACTGGGGTGTCTCATCGCTAGGATCCCGGGCTGGAAAGACAAAGTGTGGGTTTGGGAGCGGAGCAGACATTCTCAGGTTGCGGCGGCTGTGACCCTCAGGAGACCGATCAGCCGGGGGAATATATGGAGAGAATGCCGGACTAGCTTGAGGCTGTGGAGGTAGGGATATCGAAGCCATAACGATACGCCGGGTTGATCAAGAGGTCTGGATGATACCGATTAAACCTTGATACAATAAGATGACTTGAGTCACGCCGTGGCAAGTAATGGACACAGTTGATGTGACCTTGACGACGCACGGGGACCTCCAGACCTTGGTGACTTCCCTACAATGATTGGAAAGCCCGGTGCTGTCTGGAGGCCTTCAGTTCTGCAATGGTACCATTGAACCCTCGAATCCAAACTCTCAAGTGTCGCACCAAGGAAGAGACGAGGCCCCAGGATCCGATGAATACGAGCCGAAAGAATACAAGTCGCAGTATAAGGTCGCAAAAACGGTCTGAAACCCAAAGACACAACAAGCCTCCACAATCGCTTTTGTAACTGATTCAGTGGTCGAGCAACGCTTTAGAAACAAGGCGAATCGAATGAATCTTATCGAAATCGAGAGAGTTAAGGCGTGTCGTACTTGTTGTTGACGAAGGAGACTGGTGTTGTAAGGAGCGGACGGCCACGGGAATGGGCCAAGGAGGAGAGGATGGGCGGAAGAGTCGGGAGAGGAGGGCGAAGTGAAGTTAAGAGAGTGAAAGGTTAATGTGAATAAAAAGGTATAGTGAAGAGAGAGGGGGAGGAAAGAAGAAGAGGAGAAGGAGGAAGAGGGAGGAGAGACGGAGGAGGGGAGGAAGAGAGGAAAGAGAGAGAGAGAAAGAGGATCAACCTGGAAAAAGGAAAATGAAGTTGAAGGAAGGAGAGGAAAGGCTGAGGTGCAGCAAAAGGCTTGGTGGTGGAGGAGGAGGAGAGGAGACGGCGACGTATGGAGGGCGGCAGGGGATGATTGGCTGGGTGGCCGGAGGGGCCGCGCCCGTACCGTTCAACCTGGTTTAGTACCAAATGATCCGTACCGCGTATTACCAGGGCCATCCGATCGCCCAGCGCTCCAGTCAGCATGCGGAGGCGTGACCACCGAACGATGCGCACCGGTAAAGTACGGAGAAAGGCCAGTCAGTCAGTAATTACTAGGCAGACCTCTCACTCGCTCGCCCTCTTTCTCCCGCTTTCGCTTTCTCACTTGTCTCGCACTAGCCCGCTTTCGAGGCCACACTACTAATAAAGGTGATAGTGAAGGGCTCCATTGTAGCATTTCAATCCATCGATACTAGACTAGACTAGTCTGGCCAGCGTCTTCATGGGGAAATTGCATACTTTCAGTTAGTCAGGCCTGCGGAGTTCTCGGATGAATGCGTGCCTACTAACTTGTTACTACTGCGCCTACGTACGTAGTACCCTGTCGATGAAGTCGCAATACTCCGAATCTGCAGACTTCCTTATTTTTTATTTTTAATATCTTTTTTCCTTTTCGTTTCTCGGCACCGGTACAGAAACCGGACAGTCTAGCAAAAACCAATAGGCTTTCCTCTAGAAGAACATTGCGGGTGGCAGATCTGATGCAGTTAAGTTCTCTCACTTTTCCATCTACAACCCAAATGTTCGTCTTGCAGTTCTTCATATAGAAGACGTCATAGTGTCTGATTGCTACCAAGTGCGAATACGGTGCGCATCCCTGGTTGAGCTTGAGACATAAGCCAGACATGGAGGAGGAGAAAGAAGAGCGAGAGCCAGTGCCAGAGCCAGAGGTCTCCACTTTCCCACTGCCACCTGTTCATGCCGTCCGTTGCAATCAGGGTTCTTGCATGGCGGCAATTTGGCCATTATGGAGCATAATAATCAAGCTGATATTAGCGATCCATATCCATGCTGAATTGATGGCCCGTGAATGGCTTGGTAGTGTCTCCGGGCTATATTAACTTGTCACCAGCATGGCTCCAATATGTGATGGGGGACCACCATTATTGGGTCAAGTTCCGGAGAAAACCCCCCAGGCACCAGTAGACTAAATTGGCGGTACCTGAACGGGCGGCCAATCCGCAACACGAACAGGGGCATCGAAATCTCGCTTGTCTCGGTGGGGAAAGACCGACCGCCACCCACTAGACGCTTTGGGCTAACTGCATTCAAGCTAGTTTAATTAGCGCCAGTCGACTCCTTGCCCCGTCGCGCCGAAAAAGCAAGACTAAATACGGATTTGTGTCTACTAGCCGTACCTAGTACTAAACTCGTTACAGGCTTAGTTACTTTCACTCGTACTCTTACTCTTACTCTTACTGACTTCCTTACTACTACCCACTCGCTCGCAACCTTCTCTTACAGTACATCGATACCAAAGAAACTACTTACTAAAGTATTCAACTTCGCCAGCCAGCCAGCGATCCCTGCAATGGTTGACACGTCCCGACATCTAGGAGGGGAAAAGCCATGCAAGTTGAAACATCCCGCATGGAAATCAGAGACAACCAAGAATAGATCTCCTTCCCCCCAAACTTGGTGTTGTTGTGCTCCCGTCCCCCTGGTGATCACTCTCCATCATCTGCGACTTCATCCCATGATCGCATCATCATCCTCGGTTGTTGCGAACCTGTTAAGCATCCTGACCAACATCATCCACACAATAAATACACTGACAGAATAAGGGATGATGGTGGCTTACCGTAAAAGGTTTTGGATACGATACGAGGCATGGAGCACCTACGTAAGTTCGTAACTACTAGATGGAAGACGGGCGCCAATTCTTCCCTCTCAGAGTGAGGCACATCACTTTCCTCCCCTCTTAGTACTCCCCTCTCCCCTCCCCTGATAAGTGATAGACCAATACTTGTGTCAGGATCTCTACTAGCCACCTGAGTCTGGCGGCACATGTCACGCCTATCATTGGCTGCCAAGAAACTGTTAGTGAGGACTAGATATCGCCCATGTGTTCCAGTTCCAGTTTCAATGCAGTTCAGCCACGTCGGCCGATCTTGGTTGTGGCCTTCTATTTCAGGAACGGCCCATTGCATACTAATCGGGATACGCCGCTGAGAATCCCGGATAAAGTCACCACGGAAGAGGTATTGTTGAAGCGCCGAGTGACCCGTCCAATTGCCTATACCCTAGACGCAATTCAGCTCCCATCATCTTCCCGCGCCGACTACGATAATATGGATGTTTCAGCTTCGCCATGTCGCGGTCTAGATAATTCGATAGCTAGTAGCCTTTTCAACAGTCTAATTTATTCCTTCTCCTGGGAAGAGACCGGTGATCCTGAACTGGTCGGAGCGCCAATAGAATGAGGATCTGACGACAACTGAGTCATGGGAGGCTTATACTTACTTTCTCATCAATCGAGACTCATCGGTACGATGGACAAGAAGTTCTATCATCAATACCTCCTGCGAGCTGTCTGTGGCGTTGCCCAAGGTTACTACTTTGTATCATGTTGTGCAGCCAGAGACATCTATCTATTGGCTGAAGGGCAAAGATTGATATGCCCGAATCGTCGACGTACATGCGGCCTAGCCGCAAACCAAGCATGGCTGTCTGACTGGCACAGAGTTTCCCTTCAGACCCGATAGACCGTCACCAAACAGGGACCAGGCACCTTGGGCTAGTCGAGTCTAATCATGGTGTGAAATGTTGTGCGTCTAACCAACCGTGTCCCATGTTTTGGGCTTAACTGCGCAGGCGACTAACGGAGCACGGAGTACTGTAAGTCAAGATGCATTCCTCACTTCTTATCGCTCTGGTTTCCAGAACACGTCCTAAATCCCTCTGAGAAGCAATGATCCTGGAACGAGTAGGCCGCTCTTGGGTCAGGTTGGTATTAAGGCAGCGGCCGACTGGATCCCAAGTGAAACAACAAACATCAAAGCAGTATCCTGCTTACTGTAACCTATCTTACCGCCGTGTCCTTCTTCTGGCTTACGATACAATAATAAGGGATAAAGACCCTTTCCCCAATACTAGTCATATCCAATGCAAGGGTCGATGTCTACCTACTTATGGTTTTCAGTTTACCCTCCGAGACTGTCCCTCTTTCAGCCCTCCACCCGATCAGATCTGTCTTCCGGAAACCTTCCCCAGGCTGAACGCTTTCGCTCGTACTTGCCTTCAAGTCAATAGTGCCTCAACTCAGCCGCGCCGATCCATGGTTCACAGCGGATATCGCTTTCATGTTCCAGAAAATCCGAACCGAAGCCCTTGACTTAGCCACATTGAAAATCGATCGGTCCACTTTGCTTCCTCGGTCGTGGAGTCGAAAACTTTGTGTTCAAATGTGATGTCAGTTGATTCGGGGGCGTTGCACCGCATCTGCCATCATGATCCACGGCGCGGAGTAAGCCTCCGTCTGAGGCTCCTCGATGAGATTTGGTGGGCTGCTCGGCGGACGGATTCGGATGACGGCAAAGGCCGAGTCTAATCCGATGAATCCGATGTGGCTCAACTCAGTTCTGAACTCGGATAACCTTTCCAGCGCCATTGTTCACCCCATTAGGTTTCGTCGCCACCTCATGACAATAGTAGTACCCAGAATACACTTGTGTATGCCTCAATCTTGTGGCAATCTAGCTATACCTTCTTGGGAAAGGGGCAATGGCTGCTCTACTGCCAGGCGGTCAGTTTCTGTCAATCAGCCCAAATCCATCTTATGTCATCGCGGGCGGTGTCAGATGACCGCGGCTGCTTATCACATTCTATCACATTCTCGTCCAACGATAACTAACTAGCAACAATCTTCTGCCAGTTGTCGTGCGGCAAGGTCACTAGGAAGACTGGATCGCATCGACCTCCTTATTATATCGCTTAAAATGGCCTCACAAGTTTCCGTGTCTAGTCCGGCACCGAAACCGAAGATTGACCTTTCCAAGAAACTTTCGGAACTTCGTGCGAGTAAAGCCAAGTCTCAGACGCCCTCCTCCCGCGAACCTGCTCCAGTCACCCCGCCTCTCCCCAGTGCTCCGGATCTCTCCTCCCATCAGTATGCGCGTCCAGTGCGTCGGATATTATCGAAGCAAGACCATGACCTATTTCTCTCCTCGTCAACCCATACCTTGATCCTCGCCTTCATCTTCGGTCTCTCCGATTCAGTGCGGGGGCGGGCAACCACGGAGATCGGCAGCCCTTCCCCCATCATCACCCAAATACAGTCTATAGTATTCCAAATCCGATCCCTTCTCGAGACACACCCGTCACTCGACCAAGGCGGCTCGCGATTCGGTAACCCAGCTTTTCGCGATCTATTCGACGATGTTGCAGCACAAAGTGCGGCGTGGCACAAGGATATACTCGGGTTCCAAGATCAAGCTCTCATAGAAGAAGCTTCGACCTATCTAATCAACTCGCTCGGGTCGCGCGACCGACTAGACTACGGTTCAGGTCACGAATTGAACTTCATGATGTGGTTGCTGTGTCTACGTCAGGTGCACTTATTCTCCGCCACGGACTTCCCTGCGATCGTCTTCCATGTATACGTGAGCTACATGAACCTCATGCGTGATATACAAACCACGTACTACCTGGAACCTGCTGGATCACATGGAGTGTGGGGTCTCGATGATTATCATTTCCTGCCGTTCCTCTTCGGTGCCTCCCAGCTCGTTGCACACCCCTACATCACGCCATTGGCAATCCACAACATGGCAGTTCTCGAGGAGGAAAGTGGCAAATACATCTATCTGGATCAGGTCCGATGGGTGGATAGCGTGAAAACTGTAAAGGGATTACGGTGGCACAGCCCAATGTTGGATGACATATCAGGAGCCAAGAATTGGAGCAAAATCGAGAGCGGCATGAAGAAGATGTTCGCCAAGGAGGTTTTGGGCAAGCTCCCCATCATGCAGCACTTTCTGTTCGGTAGCTTGTTGCCGGCAGCTCCCGGGATGAGGGAGATTACGGATGATATGGAAGACGATGAGCACGACCACGAGCATGGCCACGACCACAATCATGCCGACCACACAGATTACTTTGGGGATTGCTGTGGAATTAAGGTACCCAGCACAATTGCAGCAGGTGCTGAAATGCGAAAGCGAGGAGGCGGATCCGGGCTGCGCCCGATTCCATTCGATTGATGTGCATATGTTACGATGGAGTTTCGGGATGGGATAAATGGATTATTGATTGATGCTGGACTCGACATGAGAATCGCAGGGCATCAAGGAAACATATTAGATATCAAATTAATAAAGCAAACAGAACATGCTACATCCTGCTATCACCCTGTGTTATCAGTTCCCAATAACTTTCCAAGCATGGTGCCAGACACAAGAGTATCGCATATGTAGAGCCCACCAGCATGGCCATGAACCAGCCACCCACGTTGAACCATAAAGAGACATAACAAATGCAAACTTCTTATTCTTTAGATATCTTCTCTTTTGTATTATTCATGACAATACTTCAAGGGTAGTAAGTAGTCCCACCACCCAACCCCAATACACACCACACAAGTCACCTGACCGACCCGCTTAAAGCGGCAACCGGAATCACCATCCAGTAGTATCCACCCATCATCATCATCATCATCTATCATCATCATTCATACTACCTCCCCATCAACCTCACCATGCACCACCATCTATCCCCCAGCATAGAACAATAATAACAAGAATAAAATTTACCAAGAAAGAAGGGGGGAAAATGGCACCAAGCGAATACTCCACCCCCGGTGGAGGCGGCAAACTAAAACTGAAAGGCTCCAAGACGAGCAACGGTCGAATAGAGAAGAAAAAGAAGAAGAGCAGCAGCAGCAGCAAGAAATCGTCCGTTCCAGGCAGTGGAGAGGAGAATGAGCAGCAGAAGAATCAGCAGGAGCAGCAACTTACAACGACAACATCAGCGACGGCAAGTGGCGCTGAAGAGGAACCTCGCACTGATGAACATGAACCTTCCTCAGCATCTGGCTCTGCGGGAGCTGGGAAGACTGAAGCGGAGAGGAAGTATGAGGAGATGAGGCGGAAGAGGGTATGTATTGCTTATATTTCTTTTGTTTTTCCTGTGATTTGATTGATTTTGTTTCTTATGTATGAGGTTGATGTACATGCTGCTTTTTCGAAACCCTCTCATTATAAGGAGATCGAAGCGATAAATGTCTATGTCACAAACAGACAAGATAGGCTAACAACCATATACAGCTGCAAGAGCGCCTGAAACGAGAAGGGGTCAAAACTCACAAAGAGCGCGTCGAAGAATTAAACAAGTATTTGAGCAGACTAAGTGAACATCACGATATGTATGTTTCATTTCTTTCCTTTCCCACTCAAACCCCTTTCCTAGGTGGTTACGTTATATTTTTATTTTGGCTAACTGTGTGCGTGGTAGGCCAAAAATTGGACCGGGCTAAAAAGAAAAAGTGCCCTTTCCCCCGTGGTACGGGCTCGATGGCTATCGCATCACTTTGTTTCAGGCTCGTCATGTACTAGTCGTACTAATGGGTGGGTGCTTTTGCTTTTGGTTCTAGGGGGATGGGGGGGGTGGGGAGGGGTCGAGGTCTTCTCTGTTCTCAGTTGTTGCAGGGATTCTAGGTGTCAGGTTGGTTTCAACCTATGGGAGTTCGGGGCTAGTTGGTTGGAGAGGTTTGTTCGGGCTACTATCATATGACGCTTGCTACGTTCTGCACGCTCAGTGGTCAGAACAGCGGGATAGCTAGCTAACTGAGCTTACAGCTACGTGGGTAGCTGGCACACGACTAATCTCCGGCCACCGCGCTGAGGATGGATGGTACTAAGATATTCCAGGAGGTGGGTTTGAATCTATGGGTTCAATTGATGGTGGAAGGTGTGGACAAATATGCATATATACCTATGACCGCTTGGCTATGTGACACACCAGTGGAAATAGCAAAACCATTCACAAACGGGGTAAAAAGCCCATCAATTCTATCCAACACGAACTGGAAGATGGAGAGTTGTCTAATATCGGTGCGTTGCCAATAACCGCCCGCGGGAAGTCCATGGGAAGATGAACACGATCACTGCAAAAAAAAAGGATTAAGGAAATATGCAGCAAATAGATACTCAAAAAAAAATATAGAATATAGCCGTCGAAACTCCAGAGCTGTGTAAACGCCAAACAGGGAACAGTATCAACATCAAAACTCCCTCCCCAACCCAGGTGGCGAACTGTCGCGGAAAGCGTTACTGGCCATGCAGTACGTGCTAATGCCGGCAATAAGTGTGTAGTGTAGAAGTAGGAACACCGCGCTAATAATATGTATGAAGTTTGCGACGCAGCGGAATGATAAAAGAGGAAAGGAGAAAAGAGAAGATCACAGCAGGGAGAATTATTGGGAGATCTCCAGGGCGAAAAGGATCTCATACGCCCTTAATGACGTGAGTCCGCTCACTGTTGAGCTTATCGGCATTGCGGGCGTGGGACTCCTTCTTGCAGTCCTCAAGACCAGTGCAGGCGTGAGCCTCTAGCATGCGATGCTTAGAGCAGTAGTGACCACTGCAGAAGCTGCAGTCTCCGACGATGCGTTGAGCGGCTTCCTTGCACTCCTTGAAGTTGCAGCGAGGCTTGCGGGGCGCCATGATGAAAGTGGTGGCGAGAAAGCGAGTTGAGGGAGGCGGTGTCAAGAGTAGCTAGTAGTAGCCACCGGGGCAGCAATGACGATAGGAGGACTGGAAATGAGGTGCTTGTTGTTCCCAGAGAAGGACTGGTAGTGACAGTGATAAGATGCTCAACTGGTAAGAGTAGTAGTGTATGTTATGCAGTCCGGGAAAGAGTGGACTGATGAAGAGCACAGGAAGAGTGTCGGAGGTTTGAGGGTGACGTGGAGAGCAGTAGTCCGGTGAGGAGAAAGAGGAGGTGAGTGAGGAGGCGTGATAAGGAGGCAGGCAGATAAGGATGGCGGTCTATGTATAGTGGAAGGGAGACCGAAGATCGGAGTTAAGGTAGCTTAGCTTGAGTTGGGATAGCGGATAGGGATAGGACGACTGCAAGTAGAGTAGAGCAAAAGAAGAAGTCAGGGCTCGATGGATGAAGCACAAGATAGAAAGGGAGGAGAGAAAGAGAATAAAGGATGGCGGAGGAAAGACGAATAAATAGGTGGCAGCGGCAAAAGCGCAGCGCAAAGTCAATTTATACGGAATGGAGGCCGATGGGGGGGGAGTCATGGATGACTTGCTGAGTCAAAGAACGGCGCTCTGCAATGCGCTGATCCAAGCATTGCAGCAACCCGCACCGCGTTACAGAAGGGAGAGCGAGAGAGGGTAGAGACTAGAGAGAGGCACCGGATGGGCATTATTCTTAGCCCCAGCGAACAAGACAAGCCAAAAAAGGCCCTGCGGACGCTTGGGACTATTCCTCCGACGGGCAACGACGACGACGACGCCCGGTGGAGGCAAATCGGCCTGGTGGACCCAGAACTTTCCAGGATTCTTTGGGTTTCGCTGCTCACTAACTACTAATAGTACTTACTGTCCTCTCCTTTCACAGCCATCCATCCATCCATCCATCCATCCCATCCATACATCTTTCTGTTTTCTGTTCGGTTTCCTTACTCTTCAGTTTCTGGTACCCTTCCTTTTTGAATTTTTCATTTTTTTTCTTTTCAGATTTACGCCTTCGGGTGACGGGTATCGAGTTCGGTTCGTCCTGTTTTGCTGCGTTGGCCGGATGCGCACGAGGTTCCCGTTCGGTACCCGGCAAAAGTTAGTTCTTCTTCTCTTTCTTCTTATTCAGGCTCCGAAGTTAGTAAGTGGTAGTATTACTTAGTCGTCCGTAGTACCAGTAGTAGCAGTAGTAGTTGGTTACTAAAGTCACATAGCAGCAGATGGCAAGTTCGCTGGTCACTGGCAAAGTTTAACATTCCACAGGACCAGGGGACTCGGTAATAGAAAGAAAAAAAAGGAATATGAAAAGAAAAGAAAAAAACAAATGCCTCCATACTTTAATATTAATTTAACGAGTTAGAAAAATAGGAGAAGGCAAAAAGTAAAAAAGAAGAAGAAAAAAAAAAAAAAAAAAAAAAAAAGAACAATAATAGAGAAAATCAGAGCAAAGGTCATACAAGAGGAGTTACATCCAGATCCAGTTTACCCGTTTTCCTACGTGTCCATCCATACTCCAAACCAACGCATCATCATCAACTGGCCGTTTTGCCCTTTTCATTTCACAAAACCAACATCAGTACCAGCACCACTACTACTTCACCACCACCACCACCATAACCCCCCTTTCTTCTTCTCGTCATCATCAGGCCGATCAATCCTGTCTAAGCGAGGACAATCATGTCCACATCAGCTGCTTCTGCTCCTCACGAGCCATTTTCAAGGTTCCAACGTATATATCGCCGCCAAAAGTCCCCTTCTCCAGTCTTTTAACACCCTTCTCCCCCTCCTACTAAACTAACCCCAAAAGGACGGCCACGCTTACTAGTCTACTGACCCGTTCAACGTTGCCTTACCCTTCCCTTCCTTTCCCCTTCTTTCCCACCCCGGTTTTCCCAAAACTATCCGGCCCAACAATGCATGCAAGCCTGGGCCCCTCCCTCCCTCCCTCTCTGTCTCTCTTCCATCCAGGCACCACCACGAAGGAGAGAGAGAGAGAGGACACTAGGGAGGAGGGAGGGGAAAACAGAAAATCCCTTCACGGATGTCTGTGCACGTTAGTGAAGCTGCATCCCGAGGGTCGTACTACAGGAGTATAGTGCACACCTCCTAGTTATTTTATTTTCCAGGATTTTTATGATCCCCAAACTTGCCATCTTGTTCCAACCCGGTTCCCCCCATACCTGGAAATGAATCCTACTTCTTCTCACCAAACTTTCCTCCAACTCATCACGTGAGGACTCATACCTTGCAGCCAGCACCCATCCTGATGACTTTTATTTATTGATCCCTCTTTTTACAATCAGGATTTCTGGATCATCATCACAAATCAAGTGGTCCTTTCGTACATATTGATGATCTCATCGTAGAATTCCGGAAGTCTTTTATATTCCAAGCCATCGTCAATATACTTGATCTATCGATCTAGTCCTGAATATAGAGCCCGGGAACCAGAACGGCACCCTTACCGATTCCACGGAGTAACCCCGGTAGTAGTAGTAAGTATCCTGTAGTAGTGATGGTGTTAATATTATCATGCACCTACCCTTGGGTTTGCAGATTCCATGGAGTGCATAATTAATCACTATCCCCAACAAAGCCCTTTTTGTTCGTTTTTTCGCAGCTAATTACCAAATCCTACATGGTGCAGATAAGAGCACAGCCGTGGCCTCCGCACAGATCCATAATAGATAGCAAAGCACAGTATCAGTATGTCCACGTACGTGAGTAGTACAAATAATCCAAAATGACAATGATAATGATAGTAGATGCCTACTGTAAGTGGTACCTGAATCCCACACACCCCTACTCCTCCTCTCTCTCTCTCTCTCTCTCTCTGCGACCAATTTACTAGTAGTTTAAATGCCTGCAGCTACGTAAGCACCATATATGCATGCTCAGTCGAGACAGACACAAGAACCACAGACTGAGGGGTGAAATGAACCAACCAACCAACCAACCAACCAACCAACCAACCAACCGCATCCAAGAACCCTACTAAATCGGGTCCTCCATGTCTCGAGCGCAATTGTCCTATAGGCGGGGAGAGAAAAAACAAGGGAACGGGCCATCCTACTAGTACTTACATATACATACAGAAGGATTACTATTCTACGTACTACTAGTTATTCTATTTTCATACTACTACTAGTTTTCTAATCTAGCTAGTACTATTATCTACCCCGGTCCCCATACTAGTTAGTTAGAGTTACTCAGCTAGGACTGCCTAAGCACAGGTAAAGTAAGTAGGTACCCAAGTGGATCACCGTCCAACAATAACGCTTGTGCATTTGATTTTCTCCTACTGGTCAGTCCTTTTTTCTATTCTGTAAATACTATTATCTGTCTGGTTTTTGTTTGCATACAAGGTCCCCCCCCTCTCCTCTCTTACCATCCCAAAGAGAAGGATGGGTAGGAATCTTGCTCCATTTAACTAGCCACTACTCTCTACTCTACACCCCTAATTAATTACTTCCTTTCCTCGCGTAGCCAGTAGTAACAGGAGTATAAATGGTGCCTGACTCTGTCTCTAGCTCAGACCTGAGGCGATAAGGCACACTTACCTACTTACTACTAACTTACAACCTTCACCTTGGGCACAAACCGGCCATGCCTTGTTCTTAGTAGTCGGATCTGACTTCCGCCCCCTCCCCCCCCCCCCCCCCCCCAACACCTCACTATCGCCAAATCATACACCCACCGACACAACTTATGTAAAACCATGCTGAGAATGTTAGAAGGGGAGGGAATAATTCGAAATCAAGCCATGCATAGACTGGACTAGACCAGGATAGATCAAATCATACCAGGTATAGTGGCGTACACATTCTTTGAGAATCCTGTGTTTCCCAATCCCATTGTTTTCCTTAGCTTTCTTCAGTTCCTTTGTTTCTCGGTTCTCACCGACCGAGACATGATCTTTGATTGATCAACCGGGTTAACTAGTACCTGTTTTGAGAAACTTACACAATTAACAACTTATTGATGAATTAGATACTAGTGGCTGGCTGGGAAGTCGGTCTATTCTAGGTTTAGTGGTGTAATATGTATATGGGATAGGATGCCTCGGATCATTGTATTTGGTTACGTCCGAATGTAGGTAGGTACGAAGTGGGATGGACACCTTGGATAGTATGGGCCATGGACGTGTTGGTCAGTGATCTGACCGTTGTTCTGTTCTGGCTGTCTGGGTGTTTCATCGGTTTGGCCGATAGGGATTGTTACACAATTGTGCGATGTGCCGAAGACGGACATGTCCATTTACGCGGTGCAATCCATTCAGCATTTTTCGTTTTATTCTTCTTGTTCATAAATAACGCACCCAAGTCATAGCAATCTGAAAAAAAGAAGGTATTCTGTTGCATCACAAAAGAAGAGAACGCCCTTGCCACTCGACACCGGTTAACCCTTGTAAGTCATAACAGGAATGAAAGAAATGAGGAGGTATATGAGGAATAACGCAAGTGGGACATTAGTCTAGGCCAGCACAACCACACTCGCACTCGCACTCACACCCCCATCTCCTTCTCCTTTCCTGCATCTGGATCCAGGTAATCTTCCTTCTCCGCGGCTTCGTACTCGCCGACGAGATCCATGACCACTGCTCTGGCTTCGTCGAACTCGCCCAGGCCATCCGAGAAGGGGCTCTCCTTCTTGTATTGCTCTAAGAAAGCGTTTCGCTTTCGCAGACGGTCGTATTGTTGGACGATTCGTTTGAACAGTGTCGCCACCGAGGTATGGTTCGCCAGCATCAGACCGCTAACGCGGTGGGTGTTCTGCATGTAGGGTGATTTCTTTGTCAATGCGACTTGGATGCTCGCTGGTCCCCATGGGATGAAGGATGCCAGGCGTCGCTCCCGAATACGAAGGAGTGATTTGTGCACATCCGTCGGGTCTGCTTCTCCCTGGATTATGTTGAGGATACTGATGTAGCAGCTGGACTTGCTGGGGTTAATGGAGACCATGCGGTTCTTCGGCTGCAACAGACGACGCATGACATCCAAAACAGTGGTCTTACGCACTGTCTTGGCCTGTTCGATGTTGTCGCCGGTGAATGGGGTGTATGAGGTGATCAGGAAGTGGCTGCGCGGTGTAGGGATGAGGGAAGCGATGATTCCCACGAGGTCATTGTGCATATATCCGGGGTATCGGAGGGTCGTCGTAGAAGCAGACATAACGGTAGAAACCTAGGAGTGATGAGTGCCAGTAAATCTGCAGATGGGCGGTTACTTACAAGCTGGTTCGTTTGCTGGAAAGAAGGCTCTTGTACGTGGAGCCTATCCGCGACAATTCTTGAAAGAGCACCGTTATCCAATACCACCTAGAGCGTAGATTTAGTCAAGTCCGTCATCAATTTATCGACAACAGTGCCTTACCACAGAGTCCGCATTCTGCGTCAACCTCCTCATTGCAAGCAAACTGTTGTATGGGTTGACCACGACGTCCGCAGACTGCGTATCGGGAAAGACAGAGTAAGTCTGTATCAACTTCTTGGGGAACCGATCATTCATGCGTTCCAGTATGAAACTGCCCAGCCCTGAACCCGTACCGCCTGCAATTGAATGCAGGAACATGAATCCCTGCCAAACTAACCATTAGCACCAAGCTCAATCACAAACCCAATATAGCACGTCATATATGTATCATGATAGCACCGGTATCATACCTCCAAAGAGTCACTGCCATCCGCTTCTCGATCAATCATGTCAAAGATCTCTTCTTGCACGACCTCGCCTGCGGAATAGCCCGCTCCCCAGTTATTTCCTGCGCCAATACCCTGTTGTCCGATAAAGAAGTTCTCTGGATTGTAGATGTTGCGGTAGGGACCAGCCTGGATGGCATTGAGGACCTAATCGGAAAATTCTCAGCTCACCGTTCGCGCGATCACATTGGTTTCTTCGAGATGGTCTTTCGCGGAAGGGGTCGTACCCTGGGTTCTAAATCGAGCAGGATCGCTCGAGGAATATAGCGGGTATCATCACTCTATTGATCATGTTTGATCAGCTCTCTGGGCTATCGAAGCACAATTAGAGTGGCAGGTATACCTGATAGAAGAAGACGTCTTTACGATCGCCGCCCTCGGTCGCGAAATCCTCCAAGTTTCCATCCTGGCTTATGCCGTGCTCAAGACAGAGCTGCTGCCAGAATTGAGCGCCGACTAACGCAGATACAAGTTAGCGATGTCTCAGAATATGCCAGACGATGTTTGTCGAGAGCTATAGTGGAAGCTGCTTCTCATGGGGATCCATACCATTGTTACCGCACTGGCCGGCTTGGATCGTTATGATTTCCCTAAGTAAGGAAATTAGATTCTGCTGATACAGTCACATGTTTCTAAACATATTGTAGAAAAACTGTGAGAGTCGAACCCACCTGGGCATCTTGTTCCTTGATCATCGCAAGTGATCGTGGATTATAGTCTACGCGTAGCGCGTTCCGCGGGGAAGTTCAAGTCTCGATTAGGTGTGTGGGGGCCTCAGGCCTAAACAGTCCCTTGTCGATTGCCTTGAAACCTTCCGCGCCCCAAAAGTAAACCAGGAACAATGAAGACCTATGGCTAGCGGATCCTCTTGAATGGGCTTCACTTCCATTGGTAAATCATCAGTGGAGACTACCTGAATTGCTGCGAGTTGAGATAGCGAAGTTTTACGTCTCATTTCGATCTATTGTATTGCTTGGGCTACGGGATGAAAATAGATGATTTAGTGACACATAACACTGGGTTTCATGGAAACTATTGGCATCAAAACTACTAGCTAAAGTGACATAATAGACTCTCTCTCTCTTCATAATAATACAGGCAGCTGCAGCTCGTTCTTGGTAGTTGGTGCATTGACCGCAGCTCATTATAATACATAGTCTCACACAGTTTTACAACGTCTCCAACATGAGAGATGGTGTACTGACTGCAGACAGGCCCCTAGAAACCGGCTTTGCAAGCCGTTGCAAGCATCCCCGCTCCAGCAATAACGCCGTCGACTATTCTGACCTGACTGCCTTTTCGTCGTCCGTATGCTCTGACACATCCCTCTCTTATCGCGTCTTCCATGCCCACCATGCCGGCACAGCCCATGCATATCGCACCAACAGGATGGGCTGCCTTCTTCAAAAGCCGTTCTGTCGCTTCGACCAGTCTCCTTCTCACTTCTTGGGGAGGGGTGGTGTGTAGTTCGACGGCCGTCAGTCCAGTTGTTTCAACCCCAGCAAACCGACCAATGGATGTGGAATCCCCCGAGTTGCCGAGCATGTCAGCGACCGCTTTGCTGAGTTCAGTCTCCCAGACTTTACCGGTCGAAATTATGCCGAACGTATCTCGAGATTGGGCCTTGCCCCAATCTGGGCCCGGAGTGGCTTGGAATGAACTAATCACGCCGAGAGCAGCAAGAACTGCCGCTTCAAAGATACCCGTCACGTACTTTTTCTTGACCTTCAGTTCCGAGGGAACTCCCGATGACTCTGCGTCTTCGATCGACCTGACTTTTTCTTTGAGCATACCAACGAGGGGATGAGCCGAGAAGCAGGCGACAATGAAGCCATCATACTCGGACACCAGTTGCTCTAGGAAGGGCATGCAATAAAAAGCCGACTTGACAGAATCGTCACCGGAGTCGATACTGGGCACTCCTTCTACCACTCTTCCATCGGGGAGCGTGACTGATTCGGATGCTGGAGCTGTGAAGTAGTCGAATTGTATGCCTCCATGCCCGAGATTATCCAGTATGGGTATTAAAGCATTGGTCATGTGCGTTGAAGTGTTGGGGTTGATGACAAGAATGGAATATTGCGTTTTTGTTGGCACAGTCATCGTGAATGATATGTGGGTGTATAAACGTATGAACAAAAGAGTGTTATGAAGTGCTGGACATGTAGAGAAAATGTTGAGTTGAGTTGACAAGGAAGCTGCCGATAACGGGTTCGTTGGTTGGGCTACTGCCACCGGCCTGCGGGGAAGCTACTACTGAGTCTGGGCATCTCTCATTTACCACTCAGCATACCGCCACGCTGACGGCCGGGATATATAACTCTCAGCTTACTCGGTTTGTGGAGGGAAAACCACCTCATGTGTAACCGGGTAATATTAATCCAAGCTCGTCATCGACGTTCTCCGCAGATAGATATTGGTTCGGTGCCATGGGACGGCCGGAGTTGCGTGCGACAAGAAGTGTGGGGAGCCGGAATTCTTATCTATTTGAACCCCTCCCACCCGGCCAGGTCTTTATCCCCCCTCTTCTTCAGGCCTAAACCTTCCTGGCACCATCCAAACTCCGCTGTCCCTTGGAACAGTCTACCTAAGATTTTCCGGATCCCTCTAACCGAGGTACGCAAACCATCTGACACTTCCTAACATCAATTGGTCATCCCAGCTCAAATGTTTCCAGCATCGTCTTCTTCGACTTCATTATGCCGCTCCTCGCACAGAACCCCACTCCCCGGGTCATTCTCGGCTTGATGACCTTTGGCCCTAATGAAGCTGAGGGTGCTCGCATCACCTCCCTTGAGGATTTCAACAAATGCCTGGACTATTTCCAACAGCAAGGGTTCAATGAGGTCGACACGGCAAGAATTTATGTTGGAGGAGAACAAGAAGCGTTCACTGCTCAAGCCAAATGGAAGGAACGTGGCCTGACTCTGGCAACAAAGGTGTATCCGAAAGTCCCGGGCACCCACAAGCCTAATGTCTTACGAGAAACCCTCGAAACATCTTTGAAGCAATTGGGAACAGACAGTGTTGACATCTTTTATCTGCATGCACCCGACAGGTCGGTTCCCTTCGCGGAAACCTTGGAAGCTGTCAATGAACTGCACAAGGAAGGCAAATTCGTAGAACTCGGTCTGAGTAACTACACTGCCTTCGAGGTTGCGGAGATTGTGACCATCTGCAACGAACGAGGCTGGGTCCGGCCAACGATTTACCAGGCCATGTACAATGCCATCAGTGAGTCTCCCTTGCGTACACGCTAACTTCTCGTATGGTCCGGAAACTTGTTTCTGACTCTTTCCGCTATAGCACGCAGCATAGAGACCGAGCTAATCCACGCTTGCAAGCGCTACGGCATTGACATTGTAATTTACAACCCCCTTGCTGGAGGACTCCTCTCGGGCAAGTATAAGACCCAAGATGTGCCAGAAGAAGGTAGGTACAGTGACAAGGCCCATAGCGGATTATTGTACCGCAGTCGGTATTTCAAGGATGCTACCTTTGATGCTTTAAGAATTATCGAGCCTGTCGTGGAAAAGCATGGATTGACATTGCCCGAGACTGCGTTTCGGTGGATCCGTCATCACTCTGCGTTGAATATCAACGATAATGGCCGTGATGGAATTCTAGTCGGAGTGAGTAGCCTTTCTCAACTGGAGAGCAATCTCAGGGATATCCAGAAAGGCCCGCTACCCGATGAAGTGGTTGAGGCTCTGGACAAGGCCTGGTTGGTTGCGAAGGCTTCGGCTCCCGACTATTGGCACCTCCAGCTCAAATATACCTACGATACCAAAGAGGCGTTGTTCAAGCCTAGTGCCAAGGCTTGAGTGCATACCAGGGTATCTGGCAAGGTTTGAACTGTGAGAATGCGATAATAGGTATAAATATTCATGTCAGCAATTCCAACTCGCTTCGCGATGAAATTCCTTGACACGTGTTTCAGCAATTAGCCCCTGTAAGATAGAAGTAGAATGGGATATGCAGAAGCTCACCGGTCCAGGCCATGTAGTTATGCAGAGGTTGGAGGGACTCGAAGATCGGTGGGTCTAGATCGATCGAGGTCCTCCTGCATGTTCTGCATATCTCCAAGCAGGTGACCGTGCCGCACATGTAAGCACTCACAATCATTCCCCTTCTTTCCCCGCTTCCTCCTGTTACCTACTCTTGGAACCAGATCCTTTCGTCTGCAAGCATCCAGGTATTGTCCGATGTCTGCAGTCTGTCGGGTTCATAATGCGGAGCCTGGATGGCGCTAATTATCAGCTGGCCAGGGATGATCCTCGCATCATACACACTCAAGAATGGACTCTATAGGATGTGTCCTGTACCCTTGCATGGCACTTCACCTTTACCATCGTCTAAGCTAATCTGGGGTAGGCGCCTGACAGCTATTGTGCCACATTCTATTACCATTGCGCCTAGAACCTCACTCATGGTCTTATCTCCGACTCCTCCTTACAAGTGCACATATCCCTTCACTGTGCTACCGCGGAAAGTATAGCTCGAAGCTAATTGAGAGCTTATCTCCGCTGGTGACACATCGGAGCGTTTAGGATACAGAGAACTGGACTCTGTCTTGGCAGACCTTGAGGTATTTGAAGACAAGGTGAATTTCACGATCATGTAGTCCACGCTTGATCCGACAGAATCGTGCAGATCTAAGTAAACGCTGCAATGAAACCTTACTGCCATGCATTTATGGTAGATAGCCGCCTGACACCAATAGCGTGCATGCACCAGCGATATCGACTAGATACCAGGAGCTGTTTCACGGGGTTTGCAGACCTGGTTGTCCTTGAATCTCGAATTGTACTCATCTAGACCCTGGTAAATCGGCAGGTTGCGTTCATGCTGTGATCTAGATCCCAACCTCAAGGATGCAACGATTGTAAGGGCCATGTGAGCATAGAGTTGTGGTTATTGCTCTGGCTATCTCCTTGCGTGTTGCGCAAGTCAAGGATGGTCCAAATATAGAGGAAATGACGAAATATATAAATGGGTGGGCTTACCGACTTCGTCGATTATAATGGCGCAAAAGGAGTCAGTTGGGCGATTTTGCTCTAGCGTTACAATATGTCTCTTGTCATTGCTCGTTCGTTTGCAATCAAGAATCACCCAGATGAGGAAGCAAGTGGCTATCCAACGTCAGACATCGAGAAGAAGACCGTGATAAGTGTGACGCAGGAGTCTACTACCGCTTCCACCGATGAAGTACTCAGTGGCTCCCACAAGGAAAAACGGATTTGGTTCCGGCGATCTCAGAACCCTGATTCTGATGCCATTGCAACACAACCGTCGGTGTATGATGACCCTGACCTTGTTGACGAATACAAACCACGTCCCGATTGGGAAGGCATTCATCGCTTCGACCCGGCAGCAAGATGGACTTGGGCTGAAGAAAATGTATGTATGTGAGGCTCACTGTGAGCTGAAAGCTCTAAGCTTAGGTACATCTAGAAAATCGTCAGAAAGCTGGACCTGCGTATCATTATATGGGCCTGCATAATGATAACTGCCCTGGAGCTCGATAAGTCTAATATTCGTGGGTGAATATACATATTGATACCACCTGATGCGCTGACAATATCAGAGCAAGCCAATGCCGATAATTTCCTGACCGATATCCGCCTAAGTCGTGATGGTCAGTAACTTCCGTTGAGCTTGGAATGCCTGTATGATAGCTCATACCTTATACAATATACAGATTACAATCTGGGGAACACATTGTACAGACTGTGCTTTATGTTCAGTGAAATACCCACCCAGATCATCAGCAAGAGGATTGGCTGCGACAGGTGGATCCCTATACAGATGATTGCGTGGTCGATTGTTGCTAGCTGCCAATTCTGTCTATCCAACAGAGAGTCCTTCCTGGTCTGCCGAGCTTTGATAGGATTGGTTTCAGGAGGCTTCACGCCCACTGTAAGTGGCTTTACTTTTCTCTGTCCCATTATGCCCCTCTAAATTCGAGCAGGTCATCCTTTATCTCTCGTACTTTTACAAGCACCATGAGCTATCGATACGTCTTGGATACTGGTATGCCGCAGCCTCTCTGGCCGATATGCTGGCGGGAATACTTGCGTATGGGATCCTCCACCTGGGCGGTCATGGTGGGCAAGCTGGTTGGCGATGGCTCTTCTTGATTGAGGTGTGTAGACATCTCTGCCTTTGATGTTGCATTTAGCTTAAGCGGAACAGGGCCTCCTTACCCTGGCGTTAGGCCTTCTTGCTATCATTCTACTACCCCCTTCAGCAACACAAACAGCTCACTGGGCCCGTGGAAAGAAGGGCTGGTTTACAGCAAGGTGAGCCAATATAGATGTCAAACGGGGAAGTACCAGGATGCTGATATGAAAATATGAACAGGGAGGAAACCATCATGGTCAATCGCCTCTTACGAGAAGACCCGAGTAAGGGCTCAATGCATAACCGCCAACCACTAACAGCCAAGCTTGTATGGATGAGTATCAAAGACTTTGATTTGTGGCCGCTATACATTGTCGGAATGCTGTTCTCGGCACCCTATAGTCAGTACACCCTGTTATATGAGTCAAGGGAAGCCATTGACCAAGCCTGTGATTAGCTACTGTTTCGCAGTATTTTACATTGCAGTTGAAGGATTATGGGTTCAGCACCTTTAACACCATTCTACTATCTCTCCCTTGCAGTGTAAGTAGAACGAGGGGAACGACTTGTCCACGGTATGACAGTTCTAACTGACTCCCAGGTCATCGGCATCATAACAAGAATTCTCCTCACCTATGCAGGAGAGATATTCGGATCACTTGCCTGGATGGGAGTTGTGGCGCAGCTTTGGTGCTTGCCGTTCCTCATTTACATGAATGTGGTGAACATGAGCGAAACCAACAAGTGGATCGTATGGAGCGTTCTTACGCTCTTCCTCGGGTTCCCTAATGGTAGGCAGATTGCAGTTGACGAAGCCGAGTTTATTTGGGTGAAGAAGACTGATGTGAAGTCGAATAGCTCATGCTCTCCAAGCTGGATGGATATCCCGCAATTCGAACAGCGTGCGAACTCGGGCTATTGCAGCTGCGATATACAACATGTCTGTACAACTATCTGCCATCATAGCTTCGAACATATATCGGGATTGTAAGTGTCTTTCCCACCTATCAGTCTGCAATGCTGTATCCCTAGGCTGATCAAGGATAACTTTGCAATATGATCTGTAGGGGATGCACCACGTTATGTGGTCGGAAACCGAGTGCTCTTGTCTATTGTGAGCGTCAACATGGCTATCTATTTGGCAACCAAAGCATACTATATGCTACGGAACCGACAACGGGACCGGAAATGGAACGCCATGACTGAGGATCAACGAGTCGACTACGTTGCAAACACAAGAGATGAGGGAAATCAGCGGCTAGATTTCCGGTTCGCACACTAGGAGGGGAGGGTTAAAATGCCTTCTGGGATACGGCGCTATGTTTCGAAGGTGAGGCCGTAGATGTAATAGGACTTAAGTTGGTGATAGCTTAGTGATTGATGCATGTATGAAACAAAGTTGCTATAAATAAGAAGACGATGACACTTACTTTCAAGGCTGAATTGGAGAAAAGGCACGGCATGTCCCAATGCGGAAGGCACCCATGAAGGTCCCCCGCTGAGTCACGTGAGAAAATACGCGCTTTCCCGATGTGGGATGGAACGGGGTCCCGGTGGGCCAGTCAGATGCGAGAGTCGCATCTAATATGGAGTAAGTAAAGTAACCAACCCCGGGCCGTATCAATTGTCTGCGACTCCCTCCCAACTGCTTGCAATTGCAATGTAACCGCATCAGCCATACTATCTCCTTCCTCCTCCCTCTTCCTCTCACTTCAATCTTGCACTGCTGTGCTTCGATCTCATTACACTCTTGATCTTCCTCTTCTTTCCCCTTTTCACCATCTTTTTTTTTCTTTTACTCCTCACTGCGGCCAAGTCTTGGCTACAGTTTTCTTGACACCCCCTAATCCTGACGTACTTGGCAAACGTGGCCGCAGCGGCGGTGCTTCGCCCCGGAGCCGCCCATTATATACCGTGTTGCATGCCCTCGTCAGCCGGTCTTTTCCCGGGGGCAACTGACCTGGATTCTTTCTGCTTTTTTTATGCGCAATACCCACATGAACAGTCTTTTCTATACTGCAATATACTCACTGTCCTTCCTATCTGTCTGATTAACTTGCGACCCGCGGTAAACCAGCGGTCTCGTGCATCGTCCTTCTGTCAACGCGCGAAGTCCATTCTTTATTAACTGTAGGGTGTCAGCCCCCAAGAAAAAAAAGGTTCATACATATTTTCCTTTTCTTTTTGATTTCTGCATTTCCTCTATTGTTTCCCGCTTGAAGGGTTTGAACGGAAGATTAAGACAAGGTGGCTTCAGACAGTGCGCAATCTTCGGGTCCGAGGGAGGTTAGGGACTCCGAGCTGGTTCTCGACACTCACGATTCAGATGATGAAATGCCCTTGAATCGCCCATCTATGCATCGCCCAGCCGACACCCGAGCAAACCAGCCTTTGCTCAAGGATGACCACAGAGGGCGACTGTCAAACGCCAGCCTGGGCCATGGGGAGGCAGAGGGCAGGCCCATGCTACACCATTCGCGGCGGCCTACAATCAGGGGTGTGAGCCCGGAGCGCAACGCGGAGCAGGAGACTCGGCGCAAGTACATTATCGCGTCGGGGTTCCTGTTGTTGAGTCTGGCTAGTTTCGTGGTGCAGACGGAGACCGCGGTATATATTCAGCATGAGTTGCACTGGGATAAACCATACTGCATGCTGTAAGTGGTACACCAGTCGCATGGATTCGTTAAGTGCAAGGGGGCGCTAACTTCTGACCTGATCTTAACCTATAGATATCTTACACACGGTTCCTGGTCCCTACTTTGGCCGGCACAACTCCTCATCCTCCGATTGCAGCAGCGTAAACTCTCATGGACAGCGTTCTGGCGACGCCATGTCTATCTCCTTCGGACGACAGCCAAGATGGTGGAAGCTCAAGATCTACACCTCACTTCTCGCGACTCCCAACGATCACCGGTTCGATACATGCTCAAAACGACCGCGTTTGTCACCACCGCCCTCACCATAGCCGGTGGCTCTTGGTATGTCGCGGTCAACATGACAACGGCCAGTGACTTGACCGCGATCTACAACTGCTCCGCCTTCTTCGCCTATGCGTTTTCCATACCCCTACTCAACGACAAGCTTCGCTTTGACAAAGTGTTTGCCGTCGTGGTAGCTATTGTCGGCGTTCTGGTCGTCGCGTATGGAGATAGGGACGAAAGCAAGAAGACTGCAGATGGTACGGTCGGCAAGGCGCATGATGAGGCAGAAAATAGACTCTTCGGGAACATCATTATCGGAGTTGGCAGTGTGCTTTATGGGTTGTATGAGGTGCTCTACAAGAGATATGCTTGCCCTCCAGAGGGCACGAGTCCCGGCCGGAGCATGATCTTTGCCAACACTTTTGGCAGTCTCATAGGGTGTTTCACCCTTCTTGTTCTCTGGATTCCACTGCCCATTCTCCATATCCTGGGCCTGGAAACTTTCCGCTGGCCTACTGGTGAAGCTGCATGGATGCTTATGATCTCTGTCCTTGCTAATGCTAGTAAGTCTTACTCTCCTAATCTCTTCTGACCTATGACGTCGAGTGTATGTGCTAACAAAGTGTTCCTCAAATTAGCATTCTCCGGCTCTTTCCTGGTTCTAATCTCGCTCACTTCCCCCGTCCTCTCATCTGTAGCAGCACTGCTTACCATCTTCCTC